CGGCTACCGCTTTTAACTCAGCCTCACCATGTTGCATTGTTCAAACTGTCGAAAAAAACGTGAGAGGAATTAAATGGAGGAAAAAACATTGACCATTGAAATGGTGGAAATTAATTTCCGAAAAGCTAACCCATATCTTTCATGTCGATTGACGCTCGTGTTTAAATTGTCTAAATTCCAGCGATTTTTCAAGGAAGGAAACGTTTGAAATGAATCTCGTAATTGGATTTCTTTCGCAGTAGAGAGGAGTATTTTGCATTTATCCCTTTGAATCATTCATCTATTTCAGTGTTTATACTTTTTTTAGGGAGGGGCCATTGACTCGTTATGCTCTCTTTCATTGCAAATTTTTTTGCCGTCGGATGATGGCTAAATAATGCATTGTGACCGACAAAAATTATTGGGATAAGTGAATTTCTTCCTCCTTGATGTGGAGTAGAGGTCATAAATACTCGGCATACCTAGCCTTTGTCCCATTTGAAAAGAATTCTCCAATTAAAAAAAAGAAGGTGGATTTATGAGGAGAGTTTAATCATCTATTTCAAGAGGGTAAATAGGTCAGGAGCTCGGTATTCTCGCTAATTAATTGAGCAATTTACGTTTCAAAATAAATTCGTCAGATGATGGAGAGAAATTTTTTATCAACTTTTTCAATTTTCTCTCTGACTATCCATTAAAAGATTTTCAAAATTCAAGATATAACTCCGGACTTTTCGGCGTTCGCTGAAATTACCAACACATCTACATATATTTCTATGTAAAATTACTCATTTTCCCAATTCTAATCGATCGTTAATGCATACCTGATTTTCTCTGAACTTTCTCTTTGAAATTAGCAGCACTGAATTGGTTCTATCGATTCTTTCCCCCAATTTTGACTCTCTTTGTATTTTCTCTCCGCCTCATTTGCAACTAATAGACTAATCATTTAACAGCCACGTCCCTTTAACTGATGTCAGAAGTTGTAAAGTGTTTCGAATTGATTGTCGGTGGTAAATTGTGAAGTTTAATATTAAGTAAAATTACCAATAGAGACGACTAAAACTTGACCCGACAACTTGACCTCGACTTTTGAACAAAATTCTATCGATCACTATTCAATTCTGAGATGAATGGTTCAAACAACTGAAGCAGACAAGACCATCACAAGGGTCAAACGATCAAATCGACTCTCCTGACTTATGATCCTTGCGATATTTAAGCTTTCCAAAGTATGAGCCTTGCGGGATATGATCTTTTGCGTCCTTAATCCAGTTTCACCTGGCTAAGTTGAGAACATTCTCAATGTTCAGTGTTACTACTATGCTGTACAAAATTCATTTATAATGCCTGGATTCTTGCAAGACTCGTGTGTCTACTCTTTATTCTTCTCGTGTCATCGGTTTCGATAACATGGTGGATGACATCAACAGTGCATCGGTCTTCGGGTTGGCATCTCCACAAACTGTATTGGTTGTCACCTAGTACTAGATCAACTGCTTCTTCTACTCTCCTATGGACAATGCATTCGAGAATCTTGCCAGCACTAGCGAACATGCAGAGTGGACAAAATAATTCGGGTTGGTCAGGCGGATCTTTCCCTTTCCAGAGGAACTAGTTTCTACTGCTTCGACTTAGCAGGAAAAGAACCCCCCTTGACACACTCCTTAAACGGGTCTAGGAACAGTCCTGTAGCATTGCACGAATCGCTCGTTGTAGCTTGACATTGGGTATTCCCTCCGGGCTAGAGATCTTCAATGGCGTCATCTCTTCTTCTCCGTGTCCAGCGATACTATGACGATTTTCTTCAGGAGCTCAGGGCCCATCGACAACGACATCGACTGGCTTTTACGTTGGGACATCACCGTATATCTTGTGCTTCAACGAATCGCTTCCCATTGCAGCAAGGAGCTCATTCTTCCAATACGTGATAGCCGTACTGACGATGTTGCTTCGTCTCCAGCTCCTCAAAGTGTGGCTTCTTATAGCCAAACTCCTTTCGCAAGGTGATGATGGTATTAGTCCATGTTAGACCCACCCCAACTAAAAATGCACCATCTCTACATAGTTCTAATGACCCTTGTTTCTCTTATGGTATCACCACGAAATATTATTTCGCGAGGGAGGTCACAGCCGTTTGCTCTTTCTCCTCGTTTGTATCCTACCGTATATGTTCCCCTACCACACCGAGATGTCAAGTGTGGATAAGAGGTTCCGATATCTTGCGAATCTATTGTGCTCTTGTTACCCATATTTGACCCTCACGACCCTCGGCACCCTAGTTAGTGTTTGACTATTTGGATTATTGCGCTCGTTTTCCCTGCTAGACTATGACCCTACTGAGGGTTTGACCCTCGGAATCTGTTGACTTTTCTGTCCGGTTTGACCCTTAAAAAGTTTCTGCGTCCAAAGTTTATTCAATTATTGGTCGTGACTTGGGATTCGGCGAATGCCTATTTGACGTTCAGCCAACATTTGGCCATGGATGGGTCGCCGAGACTTGGCATGCCAATTCTAGGCCGACCCGAGTGGAAATTACTTCAGGCCCACCTGAACCATGATCAGAACTTGATCAGGTTTTTGTAAGGTTCGACTAATCCGGTGATTCCTGATGAGAACCTGACCAAGTTTTGATCCACCAGATCGGATCCGAAACACTACAGGCGGGTTCAGATCAAGTTCTGATCAGGTAGACATGATCAGATGATGCCTAATGAGAACCTGACCAAGTTTTGATCCACCAGATCGGATCCGAAACACTACAGGCGGGTTCAGATCAAGTTCTGATCGGGCAGACATGATCAGATGATGCCTGATGAGAATCTGACCAAGTTTTGATCCAGTAGATCGGATCCGAAAAATTACAGGATGATTCAGATCAAGTTCTGATCAGGTAGACATGATCAGATGATGCCTAATGAGAACCTGACCAAGTTTTGATCCACCAGATCGGATCCGAAACACTACAGGCGGGTTCAGATCAAGTTCTGATCGGGCAGACATGATCAGATGATGCCTGATGAGAATCTGACCAAGTTTTGATCCAGTAGATCGGATCCGAAAAATTACAGGATGATTCAGATCAAGTTCTGATCAAGTAGGCACGATCTCACCCTGAGGTCGGCTGCCTANCCTGATGAGAATCTGACCAAGTTTTGATCCAGTAGATCGGATCCGAAAAATTACAGGATGATTCAGATCAAGTTCTGATCAAGTAGGCACGATCTCACCCTGAGGTCGGCTGCCTAACCCCAAATTGATCAAATTCGGATTTGATGTCCTTGATCGGCATTTGAAAGGGGTCAATTGAAGAGAAAATGATCAGATGCAGATCGGCTCCATCTGACATTAATTTTAATAAGTTTTTCGGATAATTTAATTAGCTATTATTATACTATTCAAATTAAGTTTTATCAACCATTATCAATAATTATTTTCAATCTTTAAAAAGGATCATTATACTATAATTAAAATAAATTAAATTAAATTAATTTAATTCTATGAATTTAATTTAATTAATCAATTTAATTAACAGCCACCCCTTCTCAAATGTACTGAAGGGAGGGATGATGATGCCGTAAATACATATTAAAGGAGTATCAAACTTACACGTAAATGATGTTGAGAAAAAAAAACACCAAATGTCTATTTATTCCTTAGTGTTATTGTTATCATCATTATTATTATTCCTTAATGAAATAAATAAAAATTTAATTGAACATATTTTATCTCTGAGAATACACACGTACATCCGCGAGATCAGGAATAATCGTAAATTCAACGAATACCCCGATACAAATCATATAGGCAATATACAGGTTACTCAATAGTAATGGTGCGATAGCGTAGTGGTTAGGGCATAGGATTAGTAATCATAGGGTCCCCGGTTCGATCCGCAGCATCGGTAAAAAAATAATAAGCTTTTTCACAGGTAATGACAGTAGAGATTCATTAAGAGAGGCGGCCTACGGTGAAAGAATTGAATTATCTTTTGTTTTGAATTAATTATCATTGATAATTGTTATTGATACTGACTGACAGGTCATCCGGTCTTCATACAGTTGACTTGATCAAGTTCGGACCCATTTGTCTTGATCAAATCCGGATTGGTCAGAGGCGTAACATATCTGATCAAGACCGGATCCGTCAACTTGATCAATACCTGATCAGTGGTCAGGTCTAACCTGATCCAAAGTTGATCAAGACCTGACCGGAATTTCCACTCGGGATTATAGTGATGCCGTCGAGACTACACGATAAATTTTTTGGATAGATCATCACTGTCTGAAAAGTCATCAAAAGTTTTGGAATTGTTGCAATTTCGAAAGACATCGGATCGGTGCATCTCGTCACGATTTTTTGAGCACTTATTTTACCTGGGTCTCGACCAGCGTTGCCAACCATACCATTTTCCTGGTATCTCTACCAGGATTTTGGGTACCCATTCCATGTACCATGATGTACCATACAGACCCATGGTATCATGGTATCCTGTATTTTCTCTCCTTAGCATCAGACATTCCTGACTGTTAGCTTCTTCCGGTCAAAATCAGTGATAAATTTTTAAATAAATATCGTTGAATTTGAAATTAGAACATGATATCCAGAAGGGACACTCTCATATAATTACACACCTTCAGTGGCGCTACAAAAATTCGGATATATCGTCAGTCGATAATGAAACATTCATACACCAAGGTCTTTCGCCAATGACATTCTTCAGTACTGAACTATGGGCAATGATATAGTCTGACTCATACGGAGGGCTCCTTGGTATCCTATTCAGCCGCATAACGCAGAATTGTACAGCTAGAGAAAATCTCTTGCTCCCGCATGAATCAAGTTTCCGCCATTCAAATCGAATTTAGTTAAATTTCTCCATAAATAAAAATATCGCATACCTTGAAATTAATAGATCCGATCGATTAAGGTTTGTATTGATGAAATTTGGATAAAATGATTATTAGGTACAGAATTTTAGAAGTTAGGTTACACCTACCACTTTTTTCTAGATCTACACAATGAACAATGACAAAGATCCTTTGCAAACTCCACCAAAAAAGAAACGTAAAAGTCCAGATGAAAAGAAAGAAAAAGTTGTTCAGAAGTTTCGTGAAGCTTGGTTGACAATGCCAGAATTCAAGAGTTGGTTAAAATCTGTTCCAAACAATCCGATTATGCAATCAGGAATACATTGCAGATGTATCGGTTCTAGAAGCTCAGGCAAAAACTAAAAAACATCTTGACAAAGTGAATTCTTCAAAGTCGACTAAAATGACGATGACCCAATTTGTCCAAGGCTCATATGACAACGTCAAATTGGAAACAGCAGCAAAAAATCTTGAAATCAAATTGACAGGATTTTTTGCAGATCATGACATTGCATTCAACTGCATGAATCATCTCATTGATGCTTTGAAAGATGGAGCTCCCGATTCAAAAATCATGGCAAAAATGAATCTAAAGAGGACAAAGGCGACAGCCATAGTGAGGAATGTAATTGGAGAAACGGAATCTAGTGAAACTACCCAGAAATTGCTCAAATCAAAATTCAGTATATTGACTGACGAATCCACCGATATTTCCTGTGTGAAGACTAGCTGTGTATTAGTGAGATATTATGATGAAGAACGAGGCTGTGTCGTAACGAAATTCTGGGATTTGGTTGAAGCTTTGGAGCCAGGCAAAATTACAAGTGCAACTGCTGAGCATCTTTACCAAAACATCATTTCAAGCTTAGAGAAAAGAGGGATACCAAAAGAATATGTAATTGGTTTCGCATCAGATGGATGCAATGTGATGATGGGGGCAAAAAATTCAGTTGCTAGTCGCTTCAGACGGGATTTCCCTAATATAACTATTATGAAATGCATCTGTCACTCCCTCCACTTGTGTGCTTGTCAGGCCTGTGCACAGTTATCTCGAACAGCTGAAGATTTAGCCTGTAACATTTATAATTTTTTCAAAAGCAGTGCGAAACGACAATGTGAATTTGCAGAGTTTCAGGATTTCACAGAGACAGAAAGACACCAATTACTACATCCTTCCCAGACTCGATGGCTGTCATTAACGTTCGTAGTTGAGAGAATTCTTGAACAGTGGTCTGCCCTTCAGTTAGATTTCAATGAAAAATGGTTAGAACTGAAATTAGTTGCAGCAGAATCGATCCATAATTCTCTGAATGACCCATCCGTGAAATTACCTTTCTTATTCTTAAAACGGGCACTTCCAAAATTCACAGATGCTAACAAATATTTTCAATCGAGCAAAGTGGTCATTGTTGATCTTCATGATGCGATGGTAGAGTTGTACAAACATTTCCTCCATGCGTACATGAACAGGAGCTACCTCAATAGGACCCCATTATCAGAAATAGATCCAGCGAATGAAGATCAATTCTTGCCGAAGCATCAAATGTATTTGCGAAGTTACGTGATGAAGGAGCTCCAAACATCCATTGTAGTTTCACGCCAGGACTATTTCCATGAGACTTGTCAAAATGTCTTAATTCAGGCATGTATGGAGATTAGAAAGAGATATGATTTCTTGAACCCAATTATGGAGAAGCTGAAAATATTCAAACCAAAGAATGCATTGTCCCACCTGGAGCTAGAAAGAACTCCAACTCTGATTCCAATTCTATCCCTTCTACCCAGTTTCCCCGGAGGAACAATACCAAGTCGTTGATGATGAGTGGCGTGCACTACCCTCACATTCCTTCGATGATGTTGAGGAATTGAAATCCATGGAAATTGATCGTTTGGGCTAAATTATTATCAGAAAAGAAAGAAGGAGGTGAACTTGTGCTCTATAATGTGGCTAAGGCTGTGTTGGCCATCCTGTCAATGCCCCATTCGAATTGTGATAGTGAGAGAGTATTTTCGAAGATTAATCGTTCAAAAACTAAACTTCGAAATCGTCTTATTGTACCCACGATCAAGGGTATCGTACTATCCAGTTAGCACGTTAGATCTAATGGAGGATGTTCTGAATTTCGACCATCTGCTGAAATGTTATCGAGAATGACCAAAGATTCCCTGTATGGACCAAAGCAGTTAATCATACTGGAGATGCTGTCGATTCAAACGAGATATTGGGGGATGATGTCGATTGTCAGAACTTATTCGACGAAAATTGATAATTTTAGTTGTAAGAAATCGCTGTTACGAAAATGGACGAGTTACGAGAGATGAATAGATTTATTTATTTGACGTGTTGAGTTACGTACAGGTTAATTCATGTAAGAGAGCTACATGAGCACTAAAAAACTGCCAAAAATTAATCAATGACTGAATTTTTAGAAATTTCTTCACTAGAATCCTACTCTACCAACCAATACCATTATTTTGTTCAGAATACCATTTTTTCCCTTTCCCCATACCATGATCCGAGTCTCCCTGGTTGGCAACGCTGGTCTCGACTTTTTCGTTTATATCGTTACGATATAGCGGCGATATAAAAGCAGAAAAAACCGAAAAAGTCGAGACTCAGGCAAGATAAGTCCTCCCAAAATCGTGACGATTCCAAAACTTTCGATGTTTTTTCTGACCATGATGATCTATCCAAAATTTTTGTCGTGTAATCTCGACGGCATCACTAAAGAATTATAGCCCATATGAGGGATTCTTCGTCAAGTGGGCCACTAAAATTTTTCGATGTCTCGAAAAATTCTGGAAAAATTAGAGATTTGATTATTATGTTGTCTAACACAAAAAAAAATTATGAATTTTTTCAAATTAATGGCAGAGCACGAATTACATTTGATATACACTTTCACCAGCATAACTTGAACAATTGGGATCAGTGAGAAAAATATTCCGCATCAAAATTGTGTATTTTGTTACCATTTTTGCTTATAATTTTTTTTATCCTTTTCTCGCCCCATTCAAACACATTTGAACGCATTTGATCAAAAAAGTCATGGAAAATTTGCGTTTTATGTAATTCCACAGTTTTATTTTTCTTAAAACAAAATGAAATTATTCCATATATAAAATAGAAGTGATTTATAATTGTTTAGGAGTATTAAATTAAATATTTTATATCTATCTGCCATTACAAAAATCGAAATTTCGAGAAAATTTATCCAATGGTTCCTGCGATAAAAAATAATGACATGGTATATGTGCAATTTCAATTGATGGAAAAAATGTGAACATATCCCTCACTGTTCCAGCAAAATATTGTGCAATTTTCAGAACTTTCGATGCAACAATTTGCAAAGGAAAAAAAACAATTGATGTCTTTTGATATTTCTCACAGCTGGCCGTGTTTCACAAAATGGTGATCTTTCGTATATGTGCCAATAAGTTCCGCGAAGTGGCAGCACCGCAGTATATCTATATCAGGGTTGGGCAAGTAAAATACCACCGGTAATTTACCAAGTTTTCTATATGTAAAAAAACCAGTAATTTACCAAGGAGGTTTTAGACCTTTTTGACCGCGTGTGTGCGCGATTGAGAACAATTCAATTATTCTAGTGCGAGACTAACTCCATTCACAGGGTTGCAAGGGTCAAACATCGCAATGGTCATAGATCGCGAGGATCAAATATCGCAAGGATTATATCTCGCGCGTGTCAAACGTTCTAACGGTTAAAGAACGGACGTAGGCAGAGGACAATCTCAAAAGTCAACCCTTGCGACCTCTGAACCTTGCAACGTTGGCCCCTTGTGAGGTATGACCGTTGCGATTGTTGACCTCGCGAGGCATGATCTTTAAAAGAGATGACCCTCATGACGTTTGACGCTTGCTAGGTATGATCGTGACGTTTGACCCTTGTAAGGTATGGCCCTCGTGACATTCAGTCACGAAGATTACTGCATTGATAGTCGGGTTAAGGGGTTTTCTACCAGTTATGTACCTTTTTTCCCATTTAGAGGTAAACTACCAGTGTTCTACTATGTACCGTAGAAAACTCCGATTTTCAGTGAATGACCCAACCCTCTGTATCTACTGTTATCTCTATTTCTGGAAACCACAATTCCCATAGAAATTTTGCAAAAAATAAACAAATAAAAATCATAGCCAAGTCAAGAAATGTCCAATGGATCATGGAATGTGCTATCAGATTATTATGGGGAGGATGACTCTGAATAGAAGGATTTTCAAAAAAATCTTCATAAAATAAAAAATTCAGTAGAGACAGGATTCAAAGTTCTTGGCGCGGATCAGAAGATACTGAATTCAAGAAGGAGAGAGAAAGAGTAATGCACTATTCAAATCTCCCTCCTCTGCGCATGAGGTTGGAGCGCACTGCTACCAACTTCGAAAACGAAATCTCACACTGCTCAGAGATAATGTGAAATGCGAGAATGTGGATATGATCCCGTTGCTATGCGCGTAATTTCCTTAATATTAAGTCGAAAAAGAAAATAGTGATATCAATGGAAAGCTCGTGGCCGATTTATGTGATGTAACTGAGGCTATTTTTTTCGTAGGGTATCACGTTTTCATTTTATTCAATAAATGTGTTTCGGTGGTAGTGGAGGGGGTAGTTGCTTCGTGTATAGATACGCGGTACGTTCGGCCTGATGTTTTGCTCAGTCGGTCAAAACTTTTCTTGGCCGATACGCTATCCCGTATCTCGATCATACCTTATTATCTATTGTGTAGAGGGAAAATATTTATTCTGTCATTATGTAGTATTGTGTTCTCATAATCTAGAAATTGAATGTGTCACTCAGTGCTCAGTGTTGATGAAGGTGTTTGAACTGGTATATAGCATAGAATATTCACTATTGCCCGTCATTATCAACTATTAAAATATCAAGTTTCGTCGATCGATGTGCTAATCCTTTTCCAACTGGAGAAACACATCAAGTATGCTAGGCGCGATGTTTCGGAAATGTTACATGTTACCCGAGAAGATGTCATCAATAGAAAATAGAAAGATCTGTGTTGCTTATCGCTTACAATTGACTGCATTGCCTAATAATGATTCATGGTTGACTGTCATTGTCAATGATGCGGAACCAGCAAATAATGCAGTATCTGAAAAGGTCGACGACTCAGCACCAATTAACCCTAGTTTGGTCATCATATGAGAACTTGCGACTTTAGTCACNCACCTTCAGATTGATTGAACAAATAATCTCTTGAATTGTATATTTTTTGTATTTTTCCCATGTGGAATTATTTTAATTAAATTGTAAATGGCCCGAGTATTATTACATTGGAAAAAAATGATCAATTCTATGTTATAATGAAGCAACAACAAAAATTGAACGCCAATACTGAATTCTATACGTTCTAGAAGGTAAGAAAACTTTTTGAGCGGACGGTACAAGAGAGATAGGTATCCTTGAAAATCGCCCCTCTCTGTCGGCTCGCGTCAGGCGGATCAGTGCCCTTTCCAGTATATACCACATTTCAGTGAGTCACCTCCGCAGGGAATCGCCGCCGTGTTATTGAGACCCGAGCGTTGTCGAATTCACTCTATACTGCCCGGGCGCGTTTAGCGAGACTTCGGCACCGTCGCACAATGGACAATTTCATTTAACATGGGAAAAAATTGCCCGTCTGTTAGAAAGAATTTTTTTTTTCAGGAATTGTGGATATAAATAATTTTAAAAAATATTATAATTTTCTAGGCACTTGAATTGACGCATTCCAATTTTTTATGATTTTTCCGCTCAGCCAGTCAATGGTAAGAAAAAAAAATCGACCTTCTGCGGCGTTTCCCTCCTATGGTGACCAAACTAGGGTTAAAAATGCAGTCCCTGAAGATATCGTAACAGAATCAAATCACAGTAGCCAACACGATGATTCTCCCAATGTAGACGATGAGTTTGGCAGACCATCAATTGAAAGGACTTCACAACCACAAGGTCCGATCACTCAGAATTTTAAAAATTCAGGATTTTTGCGAGTTAATCTACATTGACAAGTCAAGGTACTAATTCATCTGATGAATCGTATCATACCACCCCTCCTAAACAAAGGAAACTAGTTGATGAAATCGAAATGGATGAAGATATTCTGAATTCCGCAAAGGATGGAAAAGAAATGCTGAAACAATTAAAAGAAAACTTCAATCAGCCTAGCACTTCTCGCTTACTGAAACTCAGTTTTTGACATTGGTTCCCAAAAGTTGGAGTGCTAGGAAAACCGCTCTTTTCTTCCATACAAGTCGTAAAATGACTCAGAACGCTAACAAATTAGTGGAGAACGATGGCATTCTGACATCTTCTGCTCCTTGTCGTGATAAAAAGTTGGCAACGAATGTTGTTGAGGCAAGGCATCGACTTTTACACCTGATGCAAACAGCAGGGAATTGCTAGAAGGTACAAGAACGTCTAATGTTTTGTAATCTAAAGGAGCTTCATAAGTTGTTCTCAGATAAACAGCCTGTCATAATCACCAGTTTTTCAGATTTTGCGAAACTTAGACCAAATTACGGTATTTTTGCCGGGGTGAGTGTGTGTACATCACGAAAACGTCAAATTAATGACAGGCATATCAGACCTTCCCAATATCACTGAAGATTTTAGGATGCCAGCAGAGTGGCATTTTTTTCCTAGAGCCCATAACAAACGCCCATGTAACGGAATAGGAGAACACTTGAAAGTTCAGCGGCACGTGCTAGTCTACATAGTGCTAGACCTACAAATCAAATTCTGAATGCTCGTGAATTATACGACTGGGCATAGAAAACTCTGGAAAAAATTATAGTTTTATTTAGTTCTAAAGAGGAACACACAATCATTGCAGCTGATTTAGCTGTGAGATTCAAGGCTGATAAACCTGTACCTAAGACTGAGAAGTAGAGAATCAAATGTTGCTGAAACAATTTTCATTTGCAGTTGATACTGACAAGTTTTCCCGCGATAAAAGAAAAATACCTATCAATGAAAAATCCAAGAATAAAAAAACTTCTTCAAAACGAGTTCCAATGAAAAAGTGATCATTTTATAGAATAATATCTTTTCTTTCCTGTGATGTGGAAATATATGAGGTATTCCACGTCAAATGAGTCAATCGCTGACCCTCACCCTCTTGAAAATTAATGGCGATTTTTTCTACGATCAGGGAGGTTGAAAAATTATCTCTCAAATTTTTTCAGATTTTTTCGGCAGCCCAGCCCATTACAAAACATTAGACAGAATTTCGAAACGAAAAAAATTAAAATAAAATAGATCCAGGATGATGCCTAACTTGTATGATGGCTCAAAATACTTGTTTTGATTATAAGAATTACTGAAAAAGAATGAAACAAAACATCCGTGCCGTAATTTGAAAAATTCAAGTCTATCAACTTTTTTATTCGAAAAGTCGCTATTATGCGCAACTAGCGATCGAAAAAAAAAATTCACTAAAAATATTCTTATAGGCAGTAAAAAATAAAAAATTTTGACGCTTAATAAATCAAAATCGGATGGATAGAACTCGAGTTATTGAAAAAAACCGGAAAAACGAAACAAAAATCATATCACCGAACTGGGCTGCCGAAAAATCTGAAAAAAATTGAGATATAGTTTTTCAACCTCCCCAATCGTAGAAAAAATCCCCATCAATTTCCAAGAGGGTGAGGGCCAGCCGTGGACTCATTTGGCGTGGAATACCTCATATACTACTTCAAATACATACAAGAATAATATGAAATCATATTCAACTGCAGGTTTTTTCATTCTTTCCTTCCTCAAGTGCACCAGATTACTTTTTTTCTCGCAAACAGTTGCATCTATAGTTCTAAAAATTTGACAATATCTTACTGAAACAGTGAGGAATATTTTCAAATTTGCTCCATCAATTAAAACCGCACGCATACCATGTCAAAATTTTTTATCTCAGGAATCATTGGATAAATTTCCTCAAAATTTCGATTTTTATAAAGGCAGATGGATATAAAATATTTTTTTCATTAAAATCGTGAGTTGCTAATTTGATGATTTAAAAAAAAAAAATTTTAATTAATTCTATTTTATACATGGAATAATTTCATTTTTTTTTAAAGGAAAATAAAACTGAAAATTGCACAGAACGCTGTGATGTGTGGAGATATCCACACGTCGATTTCGTTCAATTTATATTTTCTGATGAAAATAAGGCAAACTGGGCTGAATAAGCAGTTCCACGGCGATACTTGAGTCCAGCTTCTTAGAATGGAGCTGTTTGACTGATGTAGCCATTGTCAGTGATGACATATGGCTGTATTAGTTATGAAAAACCGTGAGAATGCTTATTAAGCATTTCAAGCTAGTAACGATATTCAAGCTCTAAATCAAGGCAGAGTACGGAAGAAGTTGGACTTGAACGGATGTCCACTCCTCGCCAAAAATCTTAGCACTGCGCGCGATACCGAACCCATTATTACTTGGATTTTATATTGAATTATTAGCTTTAGTTTATTATATTGATCCATTTAATAATCGGTGTTTGGTTATTGGGATGACACCCTTATCAATCCTTTCCTGAACTTCCCCAAATGGGCGAACTCCCCGTGAGCTCGTACCGAGACTAGCTAGGCATAGTCTTCAAGCCGAAAAGCGACTTGATTAAGGGAGGACGAAAACCTCCCACGTCACAACGCAAATTTTTCAAAATTTTTCCAATTAAGTGCATTCAAATGTGTTTAAATGAAGCAGAAAAAAAACAAAAAAAATTCTAAGCGAAGATAATAACAAAATACATCATTTTTATGCCGAACTTTTTTCTCTCCGATCTTAATGGTTCAAGTTATGCTGGTGAATGCATATATTAAATCAAAATCGTGTTTCGCCATTAATTTTCAAAACTAAACAATGAAAAAAACTGCCAGAATTGAGCTTTTTTTGTGTTAGAGAAGGCTGGAATTTTTTCAGAATTTTCGGAGACATCGAAAAATTTGAGTCGCCCGCTTGGCGAAAACTGACTGAAAACATGATTTTCAGATATATCGTAAGTTTCTGATCATCGTAAACTAATTCGGTCCGAGCAGGATTAGAACTGTGATAAGAATATCATTGTTCGATAAAGAGTGTTATCAGACATTCCCCATTTCGTTCGAAAAATGTTGATAATTGATGTGAATATGGCATTCGATTCCTCCCCCCTTTCTTTCACTAATTATAATGCAGAACGGTCAAAGGGTTAAGATCGGGCCACTACTGGGAGCCGAGCTGCGGAATGTTGGATGGCGATCCTTAATAGGCCTTGGTTGAGACTCGACTAGATATTCCTTTGATTATTTTCCTGACCTGAATTTCAGCCAATCAGCACGCAGTATTTGAGGTCACGATGCTCATTTTTTATCAAATTTTGTTCGGCAATTGCACACTAGCATTTAGAAATTGCATCTGATAATTCCATTAATTTATTTCTAACCAATTAAACATTGTGATAGATGGCCTCGGTACAGTTGTGTCTTCAAAGTCTGCGTTCCGCTTGACCAACATCCAGTCCTGGAAAATAATCCGCCGAATACCCCTCGACCTCCAAAATTAATGTCAATATTTCCCTCCAGCTTTCCTGCAAACAACCAAATGGATAAAGTTATACATAATAAATGAGAATAACGATAATGATGCAATCTAACTGTAAATGACTATAATGGAACGATCTGATCTGAGGTCTTGCTTGTCGATTTATTCCAATTTCCAAAAAACCACGATGATGATTTGATATTTAATTAAAAAAAATAACTTACGAGGATTGAGTCGGTTTCGAATACAGACCGATTCGCAGCCGATGATAAACTCTCCGATATTGAGCGAGCGAATATTTGACTGATGTTTATTTCGACTCCTCATTGCCGATACTCTTGAATCAACAAAGTCTCGGCGATCCATCTACGACCAAATATCAGCTAAATATTAAATAGCCAATCGTCAAATGTCACGTCTCGCCCGATAATTGGGTAAACTTCTGACGACGAGAATTGATAAGGGAAAAAAGCGAAAAATAATTGAACAGATCCCAAAGGTCAAATATTTATATACTGATAGAAGAATTCGATTGATGTTAACAAGGTTCGGCAACTGTTACCGAATGGCGTTGTTGAATTAGAACAACTGAATATTCGTTAATAGTTACCAAAGGATTCAGTTGAGCGGTGAGGTGTTCATCCAAATGAACCATTCGGTAATAGTTACTAAATGGTTAATTGATGTGAAAAATGGGTTGTTCATTCATGATTAATTATAATTTGACAGTGAGCACCAATTTTAATAATATTAAAAATAAAAGTGGACAGGTATATAGTATCTTCCGATACACGAGCTATTTAGACATATCCCCGGAGACGTTTCAAACAAAGAAATTAAGCGACGAGTTAATGAGTCCGATGGGTCTCCTGGCAGTCTGATTAATCTGTTGGTAATCCGATGGGTTTGTTGAATCTGTTAGCGCTCTAATAGGTCTGTTGAAAGTCTGTTGGATTTGTTTTGAGTCTGCTGGGGCTGTTGTGAGTTTGCTGGGTCTGTTAGGAGTTTGTTGGGTTGGCTGACAGTATGTTTGATCTGTTTTGAGTTTGCTGGGGCTGTTAAGACTTTGGTGTTTGTTGGGAGTGTATTAGGTCTCTTGGGACCCTGTTGCATCTGTTGGAAGTTTGCTGGGTCTGTTCTGAGACTGCTGGATGGATCAGGTGAAAAGTGAGATAGTTAAAGGATTAATGTTAAAATGTGCAGGGTCGGTTCAAATATCATAGACTTTAATGTGAACTAATTTTATTATCCACTCATTAAGCAATTTCAACAGAAGCAAATCCACCTTATCTCATAAATCTATTGGTACTCTTATTTTAATATATAATAATCATTCAACTAATCAACTCCTCTCTCTAATACCATTTTGTTATTGGAACAATATTTTTTCATTCACAGTCTCGACGACAAAGGATTGATTTTCCTTCCGAAGTAATATGAATTTTTATTGGTCTAGTGAACTCGTTTTTATTAAAATTGAATATCTGTAGTTGCTGATAATTGGTGGGAAGTTTAATCAGATATCCTTTCATATGATTTTAATAATCCAATAGTCCAATAGTTAAACATTCACGATATCCAAAAAAATCGCTCCTTTGTCCTTGTGGAGAATAACTGAGATGACACCAAAAATTGGACCACCCGCATCATCTACACGTAGTACAATAGCACAACCATAATCATCGAAATCAACTTTCGTTGAACCAGTCTTTGGACGTTTGGAGAAATGGTCAGGGAGTGACCCACTAGAATAATCAGAAATTTTATCTGGTCTTTCACTACTTTCCGTCAATTGTTGTGACACTTCCACACCGTTAGTATCTACATCTCCATCCAAGAAGCTATTAGCCTCCAGAAGATTTTCTAATGCCTGACAATCCTGTGGGTCAATCACATCATCGTCGCCATTCAACGTAGAACTAGCCACTACTAGAATTTCATTTGGTGAAACTTGATCTGAAGTACTGCAAGAGACATCCGGAGGGCTACTTTGGACAATTTTTTCACTCTGAAAGATGATTTATAACAATTACTATCCACAATAAATACCACCAAACACACAGGAAACAGCTCCATTTCTTTCTTCTCCATCTATTTTTCTGTCTCCCTCTGCCCCTCCCCGTCGCCCAATAAAAAGATACACATATTCCATTTTCATCATGAGGCAGCACAAGGAGTTGAGATAAAATCCGACGATTATTGTTAAGGATAATAGTTTTTTGAACTACGAGATTAGACACAATTAATAACGTTACAAATTTTCAACGATGTGACGGAAACTCTACATTATCAATGAGAGATTTGCCCTTTCATCTTATTATCTCATTTAACTATAGATTAATTTATTCTGAACAAATCTGTTGAATTATCTGGACAAATTTCCTCAACTTACCTTATATTCCACCAATTCTTTAGATTTGAAGGGATAAAACTTTACGAATTAATCAATTTCGTCTAATCAATTATTTAATTATTTTGAGAATAGATTATTCGAAAACAATGGTGGAAACGAAATTTGTTCATAGTGTTGTTAGCAAGAAAAACGGGGTTTTCTCCCCTCCCCCTCTAATCTTTCCTTTAGAGAAATAATTATATAAACAATAACGTGCCAGTTGACTCGTAACGGTTTATCGTTATCCGTTTATCAGGATGGGTAATGGAATTATTTCACTTTCATAAACCTATACGTGCTCTCTGAATCTTTTTTGCAAGATGAGTAGCTTCCCCAAATTTTCAACAATATTTTGTTTCTCAGTTTGTGGCAATTTTAAAAATTCCTCCAACATTTCTAGGTCATTGATTTCAGATTCTGTGAAACAATCCAGAACGGAATGAGAATAAAATATCACATGGATTAACTTGCAGTACATGAAACACATTTTTCAAGGTTATGGCTCTTGAAAAATAACCCACACGAAACAATCGATCCAAAAAACAATTACTAGCAGAGATGGAAAAGGTAGAAAAGTAGTTGATGAAAATGTAGAGACAATTGAGAGATAATCACTGATATTTGACGGTTGGGGGATGTGTTAATGAAGAGGTTATTTTTCAACGAACATGTATAACAGAAATTGCATTAGATATTTAATCGATAAATACATCAATATACTTACTATCCAATGTTTCGTAAACATCTATCAGCTTCCACTGTTCAAATAAATCCTTCATATTGTAGTCATTCACTTTTAAATTCACTTTACAATATACTTTATTCTGATAAAAATAATATTTGCATTTAATAGAATCGGCGTCTCTGCGACATGTATATACATGTAAATCGTTATAGACGACGATCTTGAACTGTCAATATGAACTAGATGGCATGTTGCATCAATCAAGATTCGGTAACTATTATCGAATACTCGCTTGCGTCAACCCACCAGTGGTTCACATCACCCGGTCGTACATTTAGAACAAGCAAGTGTTTACTTACATGAACACGGTAATGTGTTTATTGAAATCAGAATTTAATTAAGACAAGAAAACGGTTGTATTCCTCCAAATGTGGAGGAAATTATCTTGTATTGAATCAACAAGATTTATTGTTAACTCCAACGAATGTATTTAATACAAGCGGATCATAAAAAATGACTCAACTGAATTCATCATGTAACATTAACCGAATTCTTCTATCAGCTAACAACTCTACAGTAGCCGAATGGGTAACGTCAAGGACTAAAGGTTCCAGCATCGGTCCGGATCCGGTACTGGTCAGAATCGTCGAATCCTACCACGTTGATCAGACACGGTTCCAAATAAGCGTTACATTTCTAATCCGAAACTAATCAAAATCAGTTTTGATTGATCATTCCCTTATTCTAGCCTGAATTGATTTTCCACTCGGGTGATCAACAAAGTCTCGGCGAACCATCTACGACCAAAAATATGCTAAATATCAAATGGGCAATCGTCAAATGTGAAGTCTCGCCCGATAATTAGGGGTCTTTTATACTTTTTTTTGCCTTCGTTCATAAAAATTCGCTAAGTTACCATAATTGACAGAAATCCAACTGTTCATTTTGCCCCACTCTCCTCTGTGTGTATTGAACAGAAATGAACAGACTATTCATTTAGAACCTGATTCCCAATGAAATTGTTGGAACAAAAAGAAGGATACAACGTGTTTTGCTAACGGGCATTCGCAACTCGTTTCGTTTGTGTTAATCAACCCTTTTATTAGTTTCTTTTATTCATTTGAGAACCGATCAAATTTTCCACTCGGGTGTTTCAACCAAATAATCCATTTATTTGGATTGATTGACACTTTTACTATGATTTATTGGATGCCTTTTCTGTGGCAGTAATGAAAAGAATCTGAAAACAATATTTTTCTATTCATTTTTGTTTCCTCTGTGAAATTTGATGTAAAAATGTTGCTCGGTTTTTTTATTACCGCGAGGAAAATTCGTTGGTACATATCCTCATATAACTGTATACGATACATTTCGCAGTTTACAGAAGACGAGGAAAAAAAGAGAGAATATCCATAAATTCTGTGGCATCTAGGTTGCCTCTGTCGTTAAACGTTTTGATGTTCTTCCATGAAATTTTCACGTTTCAAAGGCGTATGACGATAGTTCACATGTACACAATTTTTGGTTGCAAAATTTATTGTGTCCATGTCTTCACGAGTGACTCTTCAATTAAATGTATGGATTTGTGGCAGATTTCATTTTCCAGTCTTATATGATTTTCGAACTGAAAAGAGGAAGCAGAAAGGCAAAGAGGGAAATAGTTCAAACAGCAGCTGAAATTTTTTTAGAGAGACCCACATTAATGACAAGAAATCAAAGGGGAAGTAGACACTCGATTGATCCAATGTTTTTATATTTTTATTCTGGCCTTTCTATCAGCTCCATTAGCAGAGAGCATTCGAATGGAATATTTATGCAATACAAACATCCCCCGATTTTTGGTGAAATGTCCATTACCAATTCCAAGTATTCCGCTCTTAAAAATCCATGTATAAATGTTTTCATTGGAAGTTACTAACTAATAGAATAACATTCAATGTATACCTGTCCAATCATTTAATGTATATGAATCTTTTTCCTAGGCTGATGCCATTTTGCTAGACAAATACCGATGGATAGGTCCATCTCTCTAACAAAATGACATCAATCAGTAATTGATTCTGAATATTAGATTACATTCTAATATTCAGAATCAGTCGTTTATTTTTTCGAGCAAATCAAGAAGAAATTTCCTTCAATTCATTATTCCTGGGTGTTTATGTTCGCATCTCCTGGAGGCCTGATTTTTTATGTTCGATAGTAGATATCTGGAATCCAGTATTCGGCGTTTGTTGTTTCGAAGCTTTCAGGCCCATGACGAGATCTAGCGTGTCTGGCCCTCCTGTATAGGTCTTCCAGTATAAGTTTTTTCTTCGGCAGGTACCCCGTCTCTACGTGATTTCCACTTGTATCCGTGTCTCGCACTCCTGAAAACGATGGAAAAGATTCTACTGTATCCATTTACACGCTTTCCTGTATGATCCATTCAACCTCTATGATCATTCGACCTTTTATAAACGCCTCCAACCCTTACAAGTAGGTTTGCGATTACCCCTATGTGACCCTCATGCTCCTCGTGACCCTTCTGAGTATTTGGCCCGTTGGATTATTGCGCTCAGTTTTCTTGCTAGACAGTGACCCTAATGAGAGTTTGCCCCTTCGGATCGGTTAACTTGTCTTTCCTGTTTGACTCTTATCAAGTCTCGGCGTCCGAAGTTTACCCAATTATTGGCCATAAAGGGGTCGCCGAGATTTGGCGTGCTGGTCCAAAGCCGATATTCGGCCGTGAGTAGGCCGCCAAGACTTGGCATGCCGATTCTAGGCCGAGGCTTGGCCGATTCAATAGCATCGGCAATTTGCCCCCGGGGTTGAATGCTTTCGCAAAGTGAAATGGGCCAAAATTGAGCCAGTACTAGGAGCTGAGCTGCCCATAGTTCCAGCACAAAATTCTTTGGAAAAAATATTTGGGAAAAAATTCGTTGGAAAAATTTCCTTCAAAAAAAAATCCTTCGAAAAAAATTCCTCCGGAAAAGATTCCTTCGGAAATGATTTTTTCATGCAATATTTCCTCCTGTAAAAATGCCTCATGCAATAATTCTTTCCCAGAACCATGGGATAAACTTGTTTTGGACAGCATAATCTCTCCGAAAATCCGTGCATATAAACGCCATTTTCCCCCACTTAATCTACTAATATACAGGTGCTATGGAATGGCGATAGACCGTCGAGATTGTCCATCGTCTTACTCACCACAACACAATTGTTGTGGCTGAAAACAACATCACGTGAATTGGAATGTCTTTAATGTTTGTGTGATTGGTTTTGTCGTTAATACGTAGAAAAATTGTGGGAAATGCCTGTAACATTAACAAAAAATCAGAAACGTGGTTTAATATTAAGCCATGATGAATTTATGTATTACTTGGTGACCAAAAGTGAAGGAAAGGTTTTGTGGCGATGTTCGAAATATGGAAGAACAAGTCATGGATATTGTTACACCACAATAGCTGCTCCTGAAGGTTTGGGTTTATACTTGTTTGATGCTTTTATGCTTCTTCCCTCTCTTTGTTTCTTTTAGATTATGTTTGGATTAATTTTATTATTGTTAGGTGAAGTACTCTCGATTAAGGAGCATAAGCATGCGGGTGTTGCTGGTGAAATTGAACCTAAGGTAGTGAAAGCAAAAATAAATGACAGAGCAGTGTCAACTCATGATGGCCCTTCTAAAATTCTTGCCAAACCGTTAGAAGGAGCCAGCGCCTCGGCCTCAGGTTGTTTACTAAATCTTGAGTCATTGGCGAAAACTGCAAGAAACAGACAAGCTATTAATAATCCCACACCGCCTGAGCCAACTAGTGCCCAGGATTTAATTGTTTCTGGAAGTTATTCTCAAACAACAAAGAATGAGCCTTTCTTAATGTACGATTCTAAGAATGAGAATCGAATCCTCATTTTTTTTACAGAATATAATCTGAATACTCTGGCATCTTGTGACACCTGGCTCCCTGATGGAACTTTCCAAGTATCTCCATTAAACTTCCAGCAGTTGTATACAATACATGGACTTAAGGACGGAAAAGTGCTGCCCCTAGTATATATGATGTGTAAAAAGAAGAGCAAAAAGACATACATTACTGTTTTGAGAAAATTGAAAGAATTAAACCCTGGATTGAGCCTACTCGATTGCTAATTGATTTCGAAATGGCAATGATAAAGGCATTCCAGAGGGAGTTCCCAAGGGCAGACGTGAGTGGCTGTTTGTTTCATTTTTCTCAGGCCGTTTGGAGTAAAATACAAGAACTTGGTTTACAACACAGATATAATGATGATAGTGATTTTGCATTGCAAACCAGAATGCTCCTTGCATTAGCTTATGTACATCCTTCAGACGTGGTAAGGGCATATGAAAAGTTGATTAAATCCCCTTATTACGAAGAAAATCGAGTGAGTTACGCAGCTTTGCTTGCTTATATTGATGATACTTGGATTGGAAAGAAGTTTCAGTCTTGGCGTAAGCAACGTGGGTCACCAAAATTTGCCATTGATTTGTGGAATCCATTTGAAAGCGTGGTGAACAACGCACCCCGCACTAAATGCAGTGGAAGGGTGGCACCACGCTTTCAATTTGAGGGCTGGAGCATGTCATTTGTCGGCATAGAAATTTATAGAGTTGATTAAGTCTGAGCAAGTTTTGACTGAAGCTATTCTTGAACAATTGAATACAGGAGGTGAGCCACCGAAGAAAAAGAGAAAATATCGTGATTATGCTAAACGTATAAAGAATATTGTTAGTGACTACGAAAATCGTGATTATCTGTAATATCTTCGAGGCATTGATCAAAATATTAAATTTCAATTGAATGAGGAAATATTAATGTATTTTTGATAACGTGCTATGACAGGAGGAACAATGAATTGTGTTATATAATTTGGATTTTGTTTGCGGAATTTTCGATTTTTGATCGTTGTTTGTGTGCTTGGGTGTTTATCTGAGTATTTTGATAGAGTTTCATTTGTGAATTATTATTATTTCTGTGAATAAATATTTCCATAGTTTTTTTTCTCAATTTTTTTTTCCAAAATACTTATTTGTCAAGTATTTTTTTCCAAAATAATTTGTTCTGAAGGCAATTTTTCCAACGAATTTTTTCCCAAATTTTTTTTCCAAAGCAATTTTAGGCGGACACCGCTGCCCAGTGTTAGGTGCCAATCTTTAATCGACCTTGGGCTAGACTCGGCAAGCTATTGATTTGATAACATTAGGCCTATATTGGTTGCCACGTGTCAACCGATGATTGACACCCGTGCCCCACCCGATACTTATTTTTAATTACTGAAAAAATTAAATGATACAGGCTTCTTTTAGCATTTAATTTACATTCGTCGGCCGATCCTTCCTAAAGAAACCCATAACTGTTGATAATGATACGTAAAAAGGTGGGTTCCTCGGGATTCAATCCTGGGACCTTCGCGTTGCTAAGCCTTATCGAAGATGTTTATCGGCGATAAGAATGAAATATTGTATTCATGTTTGATTCTCTAATCTCTTTAATTATGCAACTCAATAGAGATATGATGAACAGCCCATTTATTAATAATCAACAAATAATGAGTTTACAGCGTTCCCAAGAATGGGAGTGAGTGAATTTTATTTATCAATATAAAAAATGAAGATCTGTTATTCGTCTAGATGATTCGTAAAAATCGAGAATTTTTCATTTTTCTAACAGTCGCCCCCGGTTAACCATTATCATGATCTGATCTTTATAAGTATTGGATCCTTAACATCTCCAATTAGAACCTTATATGAAGTTTATGATTGTTTGAACCTTAATATCTGCTTGCGCGTTTTCTCGTATGATCCCGTTCGACGCCGATAATCATACAACCGCTTAGAAAAGCCTCCGACACTTACAAGTAATTTTGTCTTTAGCCCTATTTGACCCTTATGACCTTTGTAAGTCTTCGGCCCTTTGAATTATTGGGCTTATTTTCCCGGCTAAACCGTGACCCGAATGAGGGTTTCACCCTTGGAATATGTTGACTCGTCTTTCCCGTTTGACCCTTATCAATTCTCGACGTCCGAAGTTTACTCAATTGGTGGTCGAGACTTATACTATTCAACGAATGGTCATTTGATGTGCAGACAATATTCTGCCGTGGACGGGTCACCGAAACTTGGTATATCAAGTCAAATCCGATATTTGACTATGAGTACATCGCCAAGACTTGGCCACCCAATTCTAGGGCGAAGCTTGGCTGATTCATCAGCTTCGGCATTATATATAAAGGTTTTGTTAGAGGGAGATAAGGGGGCCTTATTACTGGGAAGGGGCTTTTTTATGACGGTCCATTGGGACGGGTCATATATATGAGGGCTCTTGTTAGGGCCGCCCACGACACTCAAACGAGACTTCACTTTGAAAGGATCGCCTCGGTCTTGGTGAACACCAAAACTTTTGGTCTCGTCACAGTCTCAAAAGAGGCAGTATCGGCTCTTCTCGTGATGACTCAAAGTAAATTTATCTCGTCTCGGTTTTAAGTTTTTCGCGTTTTTTATGTGTGAAGTGTCAAAACGAGACGACTGAGACCGAAATCGAGACTTTACATTGAAGAAACACGAGAAACTTGAAACCGAGATGAGATAAATTAACTTTGAGTCATCACGAGCAGAGCCAATACTACCTTTTTTGAGACTGTGACGATACCAAAAGTTTCCGTGATCACCAAGACCAAGACGATCCTTTCAAAGTGAAGTCTCGTTTGAGTGTCGTGGGCAGCCCTAGATCTTGTGAAGGGGCATTTTTGCTTCCGAATGGAAGCTTTGTAATCGTCCGATTTTCACATTCTCTAACTTTCATTGGAAATGATATAGAATGGTCTGAAACGTAAAAATACAAAATTTGGCGACCGTGTCTTTATGTGAAAATGTCCACCGCCAACTTTTCGATGGTCAATTTTTAGAAAATTGAGTAATTAAGTGGCTAAAATAATTCCAAAAAATTTGAAATTTTGTTAGATTATAGGTCTTAATGAGAACTAACTCTGTCACAATTTCAGCCCGATCGGTCAAGTAGTTTTTGAGATAAAGCGATTCGTTTTTAAATCGTTTTTCCGAATATCTTTAAAATTATTGGACCGATTTAGATTTTTTTCTCTTCAAAATATTTGTCTTGATGTCCTTTACCTAGATCAATTAAAACATCTATACCTGTTCATACAAAATGTTTGAGATATTCCCCTTTTTGTTTTTTCATTAAAATCCTTGTATTATGCAAAGTACTAGTCTCGTGGCTGTAAAAAGAGAGTTCACACAGAAAACGTTGTGTAGCTTATCTACAATCTTAGGCAGGTTTTACACATAAGCTCCGCGAACCTCCCACTATGTGTAAAGTCTGCATAGTTATGCATGAAATATGCATAAAGTATGCATGAAAACTGCTAGTAACCAATTGCAGATTATCTGCACTATTTATGCATGTTCCGCCCATAAGAGTTCCCCAGAAAAAAAAGCCAGTACTCACCGAAACATTAACGAATTGCGACTTTAACAATTCGGAATTTCATAGAGAAAGCAAGAAAAAATTGTAAATTCTAAATCAATAATTTAAGGGGATAATGGGACAAAACAGAACAGGAGAAGAAAGTGAAAGAGCGCTGTTTGTTGTATTAGTTTCGACTCTTCATCACGCTGTGGGTAGCTAAGGTTTCAGTTTGTCTCAGCCTCCCCTATAAAAGGTAAATAAGTTGAAGAAAATAAGTACGCACGAAAAAATTTAGTAGAAAATCCTCGCAAATTTGCTAGACAGTTCTTTTGAATTGCTAAATAGAAAATATTCTATTGATGCAGTTCCACATAAAAACGCAAGGTCAAAAAAGTCAATTACGGGTATTTTTTCGCTAATTTTTTTTTCCTGAGTGGTATGAGAGTTATTTCTCAGGTTGTATTTTAATGGTTTAAATGAGAACATTGCTAGAACTTGAAAAAGTAAGCATTCATTTTCTTCGTATATCCATCAAAAACGTAGTTTTTCACGTTTTTAGCTTAGAAATGCCCCTTGTACCACAGTTTTCATCCGATTTCAACTTTTTTTTTTTAATGTTTGCTCCAACGAACAAACCCAAGTATCCGTTTTGCTTTATATTTATCAGATCATGAGAAAATGATTTTTTTAGTTTCTACCTTTCTTCCTCTTTTTAGCAAATGCTAAAACTAGTTGTTTTTCGTTATTCCACGTTGTAATCATACGTAATCGAAATATTATAACAAAATAAAAAATGGGGGGAAAACAACGAAATTTAGCATTTGCTAAAAAGAGGGAAAAAAATAAAAAGTAAAAAAAACATTTTCTCATCATCTATTAAATATAAAGTAAAACGGATACTTGGGTTTTTTCCTTGGAGTATAACGAACATTTAAAAAAAAACAGTTGTAATCGGATGAAAACTGTGGTCCGAGAAGCCTTTTTAAGCTAAAAACGTGAAAAATGACGTTTTTGGTGAATATACGGGGCAAAACGGTTCGAGTCCGAAATGTTTCTCACTTTTTTATATATCCCTTCATATATCAAAAGTCATCCAATGGCTGTTAAGGCCGAGTCGAGACTTTCAAATTTCACCGCCGTCTCCCGTTGAAAAAATTTTTTCTGAATGTTGTTTAAAACTTTAGAAATTCCTCGATTATTTTGGAAAACTCAAATTTTATTCAAATTTCCAGAACACCTAAGAATTTTATTCAATTTTTTAGCAATTCCGGGAATTTCTTCAGAGTTTCTAGAAACTCCTTGAATTCACTTAAAATTTCCAGAAACTCCCTGATTTTTCTCGAAATTTCTAGAATCTTCTTGCATTTCCTTGAATTTTCTAGAAACTTCTTAAATTTTCTCGAAATTTCTAAAAACTCCTTGCATTCCTTAAAATTTTCTAAGAATCCCTGAATTTCCTCGAAATTTCTAGAAGCTTCTCAATTCCCTCGAAATTTCTCAAAACTCCTTGAATTCCCTCGAAATTTCTAGAAACTCCATGCATTTTCTTGAATTTTCTAAAAATTTCTTGAACATTTTAGAATTTTCTAGAAACTCCTTAAATTCTCTCGAAATTTCTAGAAACTCCATGCATTTTCTTGAATTTTCTAAAAATTTCTTGAACATTTTAGAATTTTCTAGAAACTCCTTAAATTCTCTCGAAATTTCTAGAAACTCACTGAAGTCCCTTGAATTTTCTAGAAAAATCTAGACCTGTAAGCTCAATTTCACAAAACGACTCCTCATAACGAAAACATAGACGTATCCTCATCAAAATTTCGCCCTTATGTGTAAATCATGCCAAATCTGTGCGGAAAGTACGCATAGATGTGAAGATAATCCGCATAAAAATTGTGTATTTCATGCATAGTTATGCGGATTATCCGCATAACTATGCATGATTCACGCACTATTTATGCATGATTTGCACATAAGAGAGTGATATCGGCTTATGTGTGAATCCCGCATAACTATGCAGATTATCCGCATAAGTGTGCAGATAATCTGCACAGCGTTTTCTGTGTGTTTATTTATGGCGCGGGGGTTCTATGTGGAGGGTCCCACATATGCGGGGATTTATAGAAGGCGATTTTATGTACACTGTAAAAAATTTGGTGTTAAATTGACACCAAAAGTGTCCCAATGAGTCCACATGCCATTTTTGGTGTGGAATTGCGGTGTTAAAATTACACCGTACCGTAGGACATCACATGTAAAATCTGGTGTGAATTCAACACCAATCGGTGTCCCAGAAAGTTCACACCGGATTTGTTACTATGTAGAAGGGTAAGATTACAGGTTCAGACCAGGATTTGATCAGGTCAGCCCTGACGTCGGATCAGACTGTAATGATGTGAATTGATCACAACCTGATTAAAAAAGTAGCGCCGTTTTAGATCCAAATTTGATCAAGCCTGATGGACCCGAACCTTGACCCTTTAATTGTCTAGCCTTTCCGACGTTCGACCCTTAATATATCTGACCCTTGAGACATTTGACCCTTAAGATTTCGGACCTTTAAACACCCCACTC